TCCTCAAGCACTATTATTGCTTAAGGCACCTGAATGCATTGGAGTAAGGAAGAGAGGGAGAAAGGGAGGAAAGAGAGAGGGAGGGAGGGACAGCAACAAGGAAGGAGGAGCCTTCCGATAGTAAATCTTCACACTGTGCATGTTCCAACCTGACCTATTAACTCCCCTTCTAGAAATTCTAGCAATGTCTCTTAAAGATGTGATCAGGATCTAGCTGAGATTCGTTACAGCCTTATTTAGAACAGAAAGTAAGAGATTATCCCAGGATGGATAATGCCTAGATGGTACGGAGCCAGGAAAAGCTATTGGAAGATGTTTGGAAACGTGCAAATGTTTACAGTAGAAAAGCGGTGTAAGATGTTCTTGAAGGACATGGAACACCCAAGTGTTAACAGAAGTCCTGTGGGAAGGTCAAGTGTTAGGCAGCCTAGTTTCCTCCCCTTTTCCAGGCACCCCGTCTGCCACCGCACCACCACTTACACATGAACGCTGTTTTTGTGAGTTTTCTAAAAGAGTCACCCAAAAAGGAGGCTTCATCTTTGTAAAATGAAGTCAGATTTCTGACAGTGGTGTTTTTTCCCAGTGCTTAATAGGGTCAGTAGGGCAAAGAAGTGGCACTCATTGGCCAGCTCCCAGATGACAGTTCACTCTGGGGCATTCTCAGAGCTCTAGGGACCCACTAGTGCCTTGGACCTATCCAGAAAGCACTGGTAGGTCCGAGGTTGGAGTCTTACGGTCTGAGATTTCAGGTTTACAGTAGGGCAGGCAAGGGCAGGAGACAGGTGTTAGAATCACCACGGGTCTGCTCAGCATAGCGCTAAGTCCTGTGGATTGTGCATTCAAATGGCTCTTCACTGACTGGCTTGTCATATTTATGAGTCATTTATGTCCACAGCAACTTGGGCAAGTGTTTTGCTCTCTGTGACTGGTTAGCCCTGCTTCTCCTATCAAAGACCTGCTGAGCCTCCGCTAACCTGGAAGGCTTATCCTTATCTGTGAGAAGACCATTGTTCCTCCCAAGCTTTACAAATCCGTCTCCACCCTGGAATTCTCCTATCCAAAAAACTGTGTGCCAAAAGTTTAATTGTATTACATCTTGCCATAGCATGTCTTGGTGATTACAAATGAGTCATTAACCTCATTGCACTTCTGTCCTACCTTTGCAAAAAGTTGGATTTCCTTTGCAGAAAGTGTCCAAGTCTGGTTATTCATCACCTGGGGAGCACTAAGGTTTCAGATTCCCAGGCAATAGCCAGAACTACTGGATCGGTCTGCGGGATGTTCAGAAATCATTTCGTTCCCCAGATGACTTGATGCAACCTCTTAACTAGATAAAGGTACCAATGAATGGAATGTTCTCTCTAGGCCTGAACTTAAGGACACACTTAAGGGGCTTGTTCTAGTTGTTAAGATGCCAAAAGTTAAGTGAAGGGTGACATATTGGGTTGTCAGAAAAGTCATGGTGTATTTTTTATATGATTTTTATATGCAAAGATGTGGGGACAGGTGCTGAGCAAACACCACATGCTCTTTTGGGGTTTGGCAGAACCTTGTAACCTGTCTTTCCCTGACCTTGGCTGCAGACAGAGCAAGGGTGGAAATTACTAGGGGCGTTCCAACAGACACATCTGATGGACTTCAAGAAACATCTTGACCCCAAATAGTAAAATCCAATCCCTGCTCTGCAACTGAAAGGTTCTTTAGACTTCACTGGGTGTGGTGGTACTCTCCTTATGGAGAAGTTCTTTAGCTCCTTCCCCATACCTAAGAGCTAGCTCTCTGCATTAGAAAGGAAGATGAGATTTGCTCTAGATGGGATTACCACCAAGGGATACACCTTGCCCCGGGTATGACT